GCGCGCCGCGTCGCGGCCTGTTCTCCTCCCGGCGCCGTCCCGCGCGGAAACAGCACGGGTCCGGCCGCCGCGGGGAGCCCGCGCCCGAGAGGAGCCGCGCTCGCTCCGAGGTGGGCGGGGCTCCCTAGGCCCCTCCCAAGCCGTTACACGCGAGACACCCGGGACGGGCAACGGCGGGCGAGGGAATGGCGTCAAAGGAGAACAGACCGGAAGTCCCGCCTCCACCACCTCCTGGCGCTGGATCCTGGGCTGTCATTGGCTTAGAGGTCACGGGAGCACGAAGCGCGGCCTTCTGGGTACTGTAGTTTTCTGTCCTGCCGAAAGAGCCGAGAAGCTCCTTTCTCCCAAAATTTCCTCGTCTTCGTCTGCAAGGCAGCCAGGAGCCCAAAGCTGCCAGGGAGGAGCAAGGGTGAGAGCGGACACTCCTCGACAGGGAAGTCCAGGCTCTTACAAAGACAGAGCTCTCCCTCAGCGGATCCGGCAGCTCGAGCCCTCCAGACAGCTCCCCTGGCGCCTTCAGGCAGACGACAGTAAAGGAGCCTAACGCCAGGGGGCGCACTGTCATCCCAGCGCTCGGAGAGGCTGAGCGGGAAAGCTCTCCAGCTCAAACCCAGCCAGGGCAACTTAGGAATTTAATCAAACTTTGTGCCAAAGTTTTAAAAAATAGAAATACATAAAGAAACAGCTTGTGCTGTAGCTCGGCACGCCCCCGCCCCGCAGTCCACAAGGTCAGCTTCCCGCAGAGGCGAGCGCTTCTGCGTCGAGTATTCGGTGCCAAGCATCCTCACTGCGGGTTCGCTTCACCTAAGGGGCGTCCAGGCAGCTGCCGCTGCAGGCTGGCCTGGGGCCCGAGCTGTCGTCAGGCCCGGCGATCAGCAGCCCGCGGCCCAGCGCGGCTGGAACACAGGGCACGCCCCGCGGAACGGCGTGGAATTCTGCGCGCGAGACCACCCAGAGAGCGCCCTCCGCGCAACAGCCTGGACCGGCCGCGGGGCGCAGAGCTGGCCGGCACCTCTAGCCCGCGGGCTCGCTTTCAGCGGCGGGCCGTCACCAGCGGCTGTACCACCTTGCAACCCTTGCGCGCGGCTCGACGCGTTCTTTGTGCAGGACAAGCCTTCGGAAACTTTCTGGAACGATTCCGCAGCGCCCGGAGGACGCCTCTGCAGTGGGGTCGTCGGGAATCGGGACACGGCCGATGGCCAGAACAAAGCCCCGTTTCCACTTCTGTATTGTTTCTTTTTTTTT